TGTGCTCATTTTTTTCAATATTTTCTAATCAATCCAAAGAAGAATGTGTAAATGTAGTTCATATATACTTTTTTGTTGTTGCACGTTTCAGTTGTCCGAGCCGCCTTTGCTGCTAAAAGCCAGCTAACTTATATTTGTAACGATTGTAGGCATTTTTTTATACATATGAATGAGTGCATAAAGTTTTACTTCTACGAAAAGAAAGCTAAAAGAAAAATTTGTGAAATATTAAAATTGTAACATGAAAAACAAGTTTTCCTCGACCACTTTTATCTTTCAACCAACTTTTTCAATGGAAATGTGGCAATTTGTGTGGCAATTGTATTGTCATTGCCTTATAGCAATTCAAGTATTGATTTGAAATTCGAAAGCTACTCTACACCACACGAACTGCATAAATGTTTAGTTGCAACTCCTGCCACTGTTCTGCTCTCCTTCTTTTTACTTAGCTTATATGCTTGCCTTGATTTACAATAGCTTATAATTGACATAGCCATATTGTAGCATTTTTAACTCTTTCATGTACGGACAAGTAGGCAACTTCGGGCAAGGATTCTAGATTACCAATCAGTGACATTTAAGCTGCTTGGAAAAAGGGGCATCATAATAATAAAAAGTTTATTTCGTACAACACTGCGTATACGCAACATAACTGGTTTTACTTGTAAACCAAGAGCAGATTTGATTGTTGATATTCATAACAACAATAATAATAGCAAATTTACAGGAAAATCAAATCAGAAAAAGTTGCATATGCTTCAAACGATTTTTGTTGGTATTTTATATTTTGTTCGCTCACTTTCCTTTCCATAGCAGCTTTTACTTGTCACAATTTTAGTTTCCAAAAGTATGTCAAATTTCTATTCGGCACACTGCATACATACTCACACATTTGTACATTAGCATTTTTGGTCTTGTTGCAACCTACACAAAAGTATGCACATTCATTTGTGCATAAGTGCCATGCATTAAGTGCACTTTTGCTTCGCTCGTTTAGAGCTACTTAAACTTGTGCGCGAATAAGGCAATTAAAATGTCCTTAAACTTGTGCGCATGAAAGTGCATTACATTCGCAACATACATATAAACGTTTACACTGCCTTTTGTGTCTAACTGTGTGCACATATTTTGTAAGCACTTATGCCACTCAGTCAACTAAACGTTATACTGCAGCGCGTGTACAGTGCTTACAAATTTCACACCGTGCTTACAAGTTTTAATTTGCACTTGCATTGTAAGCGTTTCGGTAAAGTGTTGCTAAAAGATTTAAAGCATCCACATTATTAGAATAAATACAAATGATATAAAATTGAAAGTTTTTTAAATATTTTTTGAAAAGTAATAGATTAAAAAGTATTCCCAAATCTAGTTAAGTGCCTTTAACTATCCAAATTTCTTGGTATTTAAAATTTCAATTTAAAAATTTCCAAATCTTTTTCACTGTATTAAACGCAAATTGAGTCAACGCGTTTTACTTTATTGAATTTTCCCATATTTTTAGCTTATCAAAGCAACATTTATTATTATTTTTTTTTTTTTTTTTTAGCATAAGAAAGCATTTGGGTCATGGCATCTGTGATTGAAATTTACCTAAGTAGCCTCAGCTCGCTCAAGCTTTAATGGTTCGCTGTTTTCAATTCCCATTTTGCTTCATATTCAGCAAACTCCCCAAACACTTGTTTTAATGGTTACTTTCGAAATGAGTTGATTTCTTCATTTCAAATTTCCTCGAAACCGAAATGGCAACATTTGTTAATCATTGGTATAAAATATCAATTCAATTATAATTTCGTGACCTTTTTGAGCAATTTGTATTTGAACGTTGTTGAGCTCTTCGTTTTTCGTACTTTTCGTTTTCGATTTACTACTTAAATTTCTTTTTTTTTATATTTTGTGACGCGTATTGTAGTGTTCATCAAATAGTAATAAATACAGAATTATTAAGTAAAAGTGACTTAAAAAAATTTAAAAGAAATCAAGGGGGTTTCTTTGCATCCTCATTATTCTAATATATAAGTAACTAACCCGTACTAACAATTCAGTTTTGAATAATCGCAAGAAAGTTAATTATCAATAACAAATCTCGACTGTATGGCTGGTCAGCCACTCCTAAGGCCACATCGTCACAAGCTAATCAGAAATGCGGAGGCTCTCGACTCTTGCGCCATCTAGCGAAAATATAATAGTTGATACAGAAATATATATCGAATAATCTTTTTGCCGAATTCAATGGTAAATCTCATTGATCAAGACGATTGCGTGCGATCTGTGACATCCAAATGAATTATTCAGTTAGTCCAGTCCGAGTATGTTTTATGTTTTTCCTCTTTACGCAGTCGTACCCGTTTAAACACGTTCTTCCTTTTATAGCTATACGACTTTACGTTCAATAGCGACAATTAGCTTGAGTCAATAATAATTTTGTACATCAGAGCTCTCAGATTGCCAACTTAATTCAATTTCTTTCAGTTATTGTTTTTTCATCCATTGCCTGTTGCTAATAAATTGTTATTGTTATTATATTCATGCACAAGCGTACTTCAAGCCGTTAAGTTATATTCACATGTATATTTATAATTTTCTCGAGTGCTCTCATCAGGCAAGTGGTGGTGTTACTGTCGATGCCTTTTAATATACTGCACCCTAGCGGTTAGTGTGTATGTATGTATATCTGTATTTCCGTGCTCAATTTCACTTTTAGCTTTGATTGTTATTTTATGCTATATAGAACATTCGGTTGAGTAATTCTACCCAAGTGATTATACCAGCCAAAGAAATGTGCCTTGGTTTACGCCTGGAAATATGCAATATCAACTACAGCTGTATTTTTACTCGTACAGTTGGGCGCATTTAAGTGGTAGCAAAATTAAAAATATGAATTCTGTAAAAGGATGCTGTGTAAGTAGAATATAGTTGTATATTGCTAAACCTGAATTTATTATTCGGCACAGGCTTTCAGCAAATCTACGTGTAAGCGAAGCAGTTCTGAAACTTTTTTCGATTTTGCTTAAAAATCTTCATTTATACTCTCATTAAACTAACTTTTTTAAAAACTAGCGGATCCGGCAAACATCGCCTCACCTCGTTGCAACTTCTTGTCTTTCGACTATCTCCAGAGTGATAATAAAATAAAGATAGTTCAAATCTTAATATGAATTAATCGAATCTACTTTTGAAATCAGTGGTGGTCGATAAATTTTTCAGCGCGCCAACAAAGAACAAAGACGGTTTCCCAACACGCGAACAGACAATATAAACTGGCCGTGCTAAGTTCAAGGGCACACCGTTTCTTGTCGTCCAATAGAACTTATTGGTGTAGTAAAGAGCCCCTCCTCAAAATGAACAAATTTGTTTCAAGGAAGAAAAGTTCAGGCATTTCGGCATTGTTCGGTGTGATTGAAAATTGAACCATAATTAATATTTTGAAGAGCCTGTTAATCTAAGCGATCCATAAAGTTTCAAAGTTAAATTTTCTTTCGTATAATACTTGTCCTATTTAAGACGTGTCAATTAAGGGAAAAAATTTTCGACAATTTTAATATACTTGTACAAAGATAGTATTGTATATACATAATGGTTTCCCATCGAATGAAAAAAAGATTGACCACATATCTCGTTCTGAGAGTTATTTTTTCTCTTACTTGAATACAATATTTGTAGAAGCTACATTGAAATGAAAATTGTAGAGTAAGCACACGTAAGCGCACTCTATAGTTTTGCTCATTGTAAATAAGATTTTGTCGAATAGGTCAGTCCCTGGTTCACTTCCCGATGTGAAAAATATATTTTGCCCGATTCACATAACTCCGCTATCTAAAAAAAATCATATCGAGAATTTTATATATTAAATTATTAAAGAAATATATTTACATTTGTTTATATATATATTTTTTTTTTCGTTTTTCCCGTAATTCCTCCGAATTACGGTTGCTTGAGCATAGTAGTGTATTCATTTTAGCTTTGTATTCGTATGTATTTTGATTTTCTTGACGTTTCATATTTCCCTCTTGTTTTGTGATCATCAATAATTCACAGTATTTCTTGGCGTTTCATTGAAAATTCCCTACTCCACATTTGATTTGATTTCTTACGTGAATTGCGGCCAACGATTTTCTTTTCGGCATACACAGTGCTGCTAAAAATTATTCATTCATGCACGCACGCATATGGTATTTGTTTGTTTACTGCACTCACTGAGGCGTTTCTTCGTTAATGCTGCCGTTGTTGTTTCTGTTTCCTTGTAATATTAATGGGTATTTTGCTGTATTATAGCCAACTTTATTTTTACGTATTTAATTATGCGTGTTGTTATGCAGTTCCAAGTGGTAAATTAAATTATTTGTATATTAAATTATTTATTGGGTAAATTGGTAGTTTTACTATTAAAAAGAAAAGCTTTATACCACGAAATAAATGTTCAACAGTGTCATAGCAGAACGAATTCCAAATCTATATACGTATGTATACAGAGTGCGCCATCTAGACCTTCTGTATTTCAATATTGAATAACTTTGTCGGTTTTAGACCGTTTTGACAAATGTGCATGATTATGAAATGCCCTTCAGAGCCATTTCAACCATGATTCTCCAGATTTGACTCTACTTTAAGGCTATTTAAAAAGTGAAATTTATGCCAACAAGCCGAAGGCAACATATTGTAGAAATAAGTAGTTAGATCAATAATACAATAAAATAAGAATTAATATTTTGACTTAGATGATGCTTAATTAAGCTTAATTGTCATTCTTTGCAGTATTAATTTGAATGAAATTAGAAAAATATGGAAATCCATAAGAATTTTGGTTTTATGTAGAAAATAATTAAACTTTTTTTAACTCTTTTTAAAACTTTTTTATTTATTGTTATCACTTATTTGTAGTACTATACAAAAATAATTTCCGTTTGCTGGTTCGTGATAATTGTGTATTACTTTGAAAAGTAAATTTTCAAACTCTTTCAATTTCACTAATTCTCCACTTTGCTTTTCCGCTTATTTTTCAGCAACTTTTCCGCTCACAGAATCATGGACTTGCTGCCTCAAATGCTGCAGCCGCTGCAGCTGCTGCGGCCGCCGCCACATCGACAGCGCCACCTGGCGCACCGAATGGTACCATGCAGCCCCAGCAGATGGCACAAATGGCCGCATCACAACAATTTTTGGCCGCGCAACAAAATGCGGCATACGCAGCGCAGCAGGCAGCGCCCTATGTCATTAATCCTGGGCAGGATGCAGCACCCTACATGGGCTTAATAGCGCAAATGCCACAGTATTATGGCGTACAATGGGGCATGTATCCGAGTAATCTGATACCACAGCAGGGCACACAGCCGAGACGGCCGTTAACGCCATCGCAACAGGGCGCTGAGAATCAATCGTATCAGGTGAGCTATAAGGAAGAAATCGAATACTATTTATTGTGTAACAAAGTAGAGTGTAGTTGTAAAAGTCTATCTAGTAAAGTATTCCGTTTTTTTTTTTATTTTTGTTCTGTTTATGTTATTTCCTGTTTAAAATAATTTACTGAAAAAATTCAGCTGTAATTAATCGCGCTCTAAACCTGAAATTTGTGTAATTTTACATTGTACATTTGTTATTGTAAAAATGTAATTGTAAAAAAATCGAGCCAAAGAATGATAAACCACATCAATTGCACATAACTGTTTGTAAATCAAATCGAATGTACTGTTTCATGTAAAATTTCACAAACTACGAAACTTTTTTTACAAACTAATACATATACATTTTTTTATAAGCGAACGCTTTCATATACATATATAAATATACGTATGTATGTATACGCTAAACATATTATTAATCAATACATTTGTAAGTTTGTAAATATAATATGAATTCAATTAAACGAGTATATATATTTTTTCTTCTATTTTCTATATAAACGCATAACCTTCATAAACAACAACAAATTAATAAAAATAAAATATATAAAAACACCAAAACAAAACCAATTGAACATAATTCTGCCTTCTAACCTTGTATAAAAAATCAAAAACAAAAAAAAAATGCCAATTGCAATTTGTATAATTAAATGAATGCACGATCATCATCACCAAAAAAAAAACAAAAAAAAAAAACGTTTCATCAATGCTGACAAAAAATACTCAAATATACAAAAAAAAAAAAACGAAAAATAAATTTAAATAATGCGTCGTCTGCATATCTAACGGGTTCTCCCGACGTCCAGGTCATACCGGCATTTTTCGATCAGAGCGGTTCGCTAGTGATGGGACCACGCACTGGCACACCCATGCGTTTGGTTAGCCCGGCACCGGTGTTGGTGCCACCTGGAGCGACCCGTGCCGGCCCACCGCCGCCACAGGGACCACCACAACTATATCCGCCACAACCGCAGACGGCTCAACAGAATCTGTATTCACAACAGAATGGTTCAAGTGTTGGAGGTAAGCTAAATTATTGTATAACGATTAACTAATTCAAAATCGTAAATAATAAAAAAGAGAGATTTTTTTATAACAAAAAAAAAAACACTATGTAAACGTTATGCAAATTTATGTACTTATATGTATATGTCAAATTAATTTTTGCATACCTGTTTATTTCTGTAAATACGTGTAGCTAAAACTCAATCATCGTAACTCTCAACTCGCTTAAAGAATTTTTTGCTTAGCTTTACTATTTCATATTTCCCAAATGGAAATTTTTGTTATAAAATCTGCAAATTGTTACATATAATCCGAAATCTAACGACGATTGACACTTCTGAAGTGTCAGCACACAAAAGAATAAAAGTAGTTTGTACTCCTATTTTCACCCAATAATTCATAATATTTACTTGGTTCGAGTTCGGGTAAATTGCAAAAACCGTTAAATAGCAAAAAAAACACTCCAAATCTAACCGCTGGATACTAATCTAAAAATGTTGCCACCAAAGCGTTTTTGCATAAAATTTGAATCAAAAAGTTCTTTAGTGAGAGGTTCGCCATGGCGTATGAGCAACATTCAGCGAATAATTGACATAATTATTTCTAACAATTTGCGCAATAAAATTTTCTAATCAAATTTGTAATGTTGCCACTCTCTGTTTAAGTATATAATTCAAAATATTTGATATATCAAAAATACAATGCATTTATTACAATTGCAATAAAAGAATTGTCAAAGGAAATAAATGAAATAGATTGTATAAAAATGCATGACTATTAGCATTAAATTAAAGTCCAATAATTTATAATTATCATGTTATTTTCCAAACGTAATATACTTCGAATACCAAAACTCCATTTTGTTTAATCACAAATTTACATTTCTAATTATCATACTATTTTTAAAATTAATTTCTATATTTACTTAAATCAAATATCCATTATGAAAATTCATGAATTTATAACAAATGTTTTGTGTTTCATATTCTCGCTTAATAAATATTTCCAGAGTTTAGATGTAATATTTTTTTAATAGTATTTTGAAGTTCTCACACCACAAAGCACGCTCATCGCACGTCATATCCTTTCGAACTTAGGCTGTCAATTACAGCAGAATGTAATTGTAAAATTTTCAAATTAATTTATTCATAATTTAGATCGAAAACAAGCAATAACTTTTTGAATTTATACCACAACAAAAATTCTAATAACTGTAAATTAATTTAAATTCATTTGACTTAATTTATGGCGAACTTACAATAACTTAGTAAAATGTGGCTGCTTTTGATCCAATCAAATTAAATTAAATTTTATTTCGAAACACAGCAAAATTTTATATATTCATATACACAAGTTTTACTCTACGCCATTAATTTAAATAATTAACAAGCTTTTAGTAACTGAAAACCCTTACACTGCTCTCTACAATTGCGTTTTTGATTATTTTCATTGTTTTTTTTCGCTTGGATATGTTGTCAGATTTTTGGAAAAAAATATTTAAAAATCGTTAATTTACATTTAAGTGTTTCTCTTTAGTTTTCGAAATTTTTAAAGCTCCAACGGTATCGACATCCTTTTCTACTTTAGTAACTAACCCCGTTACATACATATACATGTACATACATACTAGAAAATATACCCTCGCATACATACGCCCATTAACTCATACCCCAATGACTAACCAGTTCACTGGCACCTGGTATTAGAGCTATTGCTATGAAATCGTATATGCTTTATGTTTTGAAATTAAAAATACATTAAATTTACAATTGTTTGCAAGCACGCAAATGTTGTAAAAGCAAAAACAACTATGAAAAACAATAAATAACATGGATATACTCATACAATAGCAATAGCAGGCAGGCATTCCAAGCAATCAGTAACTTTATAGCCGATGCCATTAGCAACAGAGATATTCATACCACTACATTTATTGTATATTGCACATATTTATGTACAAAAATAAAACAGTTATAAATAAATAAAATGCATATGCATGCCATCATATAAGTAAGGAATAACTTGAATTATACACTAGCCGTAAAAAAATAGTTTCGAAAGTAGTAAATAATTTATGAATTTAACTAAAAGGCGAATATGTATATTTTTGTATCGTAACCGAGGAATTTCATAAAAATTTTATTCTTTATGCATTTTATTTACGTTTGTTTTCGAAACCGCAAAATAGATAACCCACCCTCTACTTTAAAAATCCAACTTGTTAGATAGATTTTTCTTTTATACCTATTTATTTATTATTCCAAAATTTAAGTGTCTCCTCCATTACTGAACTCCATATTTTTGACTGCCAGTGTTATTCGTTATTTTTTGCTATTTTATTCAAAAAATTTGCAATAAAATGTTTGCATGTTAGTAAGCTCTATGCAATTTGAACGGTTGTTGGAGTATATAGGAGTATTTATAAGTGTGAGTATAGGTGCAAACAAGCAAATATTGGAGCGAACATATATTTAGTTTAGTGTTAAAAGTTGTTAAATCCACAATTTTTGTGGAAATTTCGAGTTTTGATAAAAATTAGATTAAAATAGCTTTCTAATTGCTTTTTTCAAGTGATTCCTCATAATTTTCTTTTTAAAAACTTACAGAAAACCCTGTGAAATCCAATAATGACATTTACAAAATTACTGATCAAAACATAATTGAAAAAATTTTTTTTTGTCATGAAGCTATTTTCCGTAGAAAACATTAAGAATTGACATACAAAATATATTTATTCAGAAATGCAATTGTAATAATGCAAGTGCCTTGGAATAACTTTCAATATATACACCGTTATTTTACCAATAAAACTAACACCTTCATGTTTGTTCGTTAGCAGGAACACCCCCAACCAACCACTCATTACCCCAGCTCATTAATAGCATTTCAATAATGTATTACTGTTTAACGGAGACTTTGTATTAAACTATTGATTGTGCCACATTTACTTGTGAAATTCAATTAACAATTAAATTTCGAAAATCTATTTGGCTAGCGGTAAATTAGTTGCGGTGAAAGACATTTACCGTAGTTTAGTGTAATTAATTTCTGAAAAGGCAACCACATTCACACGAAATGGCTGAAAATTGCCAATGGCTTTAAATTAGCATTGAGAACAACAATAACAAAGAGCACAGTGCATAGCAATTGAACTTAAAATTTCATTTTTTGAAGCGTTAAATAACTTTTCCATTTGCAAATCAAATCAGATGGAAATATAAAATACTAAATACTTTGTTCATATATATTCGCTCCCTTGTCAATATTGCAACACTACATTTATACATACATACATACGAGTATGTATGTATGATATGCATATTCATAAATTTTTCAATTTCCCTTATTTGCATTGAGATGATGATTTTAATTAAAAATACTTAAATATTCAATGAAATGCGATAATAACGAATTGTATTTATATTTATTTGTTAATTAAATTATAGCATTGCACTTACCAATTCGTTGAATAAGTTCATTTAACGGTTTTCAATTCAGTCATTTGAGTCATTTACTCGAACACGCATTTAATATTATACTAAAAGACTGAATTCAGCTCATGAAAGCATTAAGGAGTTACTCGAATTTCACAGCTTCAAAAAATCGATCTTTTCATTGCTCGTATCACAGCACCATAATCTACTCTTAAAGCACGAAACGTGGTAAACGATGCACTTATTACTTTTAACTGAAGCAAAGCATGTCCAGGTCATGAAAAATTTGACGAAAGATTTTTCTCCTTCATTAAGAAAAAGTAAAAAGAAAACCAAATGTCGAAGAAATTTCCCCAAAATTTGCTTTTTTCAAAGAAAAAAATCTGAATTTTACTTTTATATATTCCTTCGCCTCAGTTGTAGTTTATGGTTTTAACTAAACCAATTTCTTTCCACTTCTGGTGATCATCTCATCTGTTCTATTGTCAACACAGACGCTGCTATTCGCGGAAAGTCACCGAAAATGACGACATAGTCACTAATATTTTATAGAGAAGTTGTAAAAAGTAAACCTTTTTTGGTTAATTTTTTTTTGATGTCACAACAACAACATACAATTGTACTGTGAAAATGATTAAATGATTAAAAAGTATGAGAAGAATTAAATTTAAATTATATCAGGAGATCATAATGTTGTATTTTCACTTATTGTTGCTACTTCATTGTTATGTAAACAAATCGAGTATGAAAACTTAAACTACACTAAATGCTTTAAATCCACTGAATATGTAAATTAAAAATTTATTATTGCCTGAGAATAAAATTTTTCAATTTAATTACTCATTCTACCACAGTAACCAACTTAGTATTTAATCATTCAACAATTCCATCAAACCACCAAGGCAGTAATGCCATTTAAAAAACGCACTAACCAACTTGACCAAAAATCAATTGACCAACCAATACTGAATACTGAATCTGTAAATATTATATATCGTGTATCGTCAAATAATAGTGTAAGGATATTGCTTATATCACTTGAGGGGTACATTATCGCATGCAAGTAAATTATTTAATTAACGCATTTTATATGCTTTTTCAGATCAGAAATTCCAATTGAATGTAACTCGTCTTATTTTTAATATTCCACAGTTTTGGTTGTTGGTAAAAGTCCAAGTCAATGGTCAGATGAGCGGTAGTAATTGCAATGGCCACAAGGGTTTTCATTCCTTTTTGGTATTATGGTTTGCAATATTATATGTAGCATCGCTGCCTGCGCTCAGGCGTACATGCACACTAATTAAGAAAACTTCAAAGAAACGTAGTGTTGTATTGATCTACGAGGACCTTTTAATAAGTCCTTTACGCTTCACTTCATTACGATTGATTTTTCCAAATAAAAGCTTTTTGATTTTTCCAGAGTTATAGGCTTTCAAACAGTTAAAAAAGAGAATCTCATATATTTGAGGTTAACTAAAAAAATATCAGCTCATCTTTAAGCATTATCGACCACCCCTCGTTATGCTTGTTTTAAGAGTACTTCATACATACAAATAAAATTTGTAGAGTCAAATAACAAAGTGA